TATGCGTATTAGATTTAATGGCCATCATTTGGCTTGAAATGTATGCTCATATGAGTAATGAGTTAATACTCACAATTTCATTGTTTGTATGTCTGATAACGCTTCAGATGTCGTGCTCACTTCTGATAGCAGACATCACATATTTCTGTGTGTTAACGTAGAAAGCATGTTGGTTCGGAGTTTTATCGATGTTTTTAGTGTTAAAGTTTGTGGAGTTCGACTTTTTCGGAGAAGAATCGACATCACCACAGCCTTGTTCGCTGCTGATGGTGCGGCTCGTCGGAGGGAATGGGTTTGGCGCGTCGCCAAACCCGATTTCCCCCATCTTTTAAAGCGAGCAAGCGACAAAACTGTAGCGTCTTTCGTTTGGTCGTTTGACCCAACTGTTGTCGAATACCCGCTTCAACAGTTGGTGGGAAACTAGCTGCCGGCGCGCCAGATCCGCCTTCTGACACGCCCCAGGTTGCCCATGTTCATGCACAATTTGTGGCACATTGCGATAATTTAAAATGTACCCTGATTATAAGCTAGAGACGTCCATTCTGCGGCCGCCAGTAAGTATTAGGTTGTCCGGAAAGTTCTTAGCGTTTTGGGTGTTTAACTTTAAACGATCATAACTTTCTTAACACTCATCGGATTTAATCCAAATAAGCACCATTCGAATCAGCACACTTTTGCCAATGTGACAGCAGTCGAGAAATCCCATCAAAGAAAAAACTGGGTGGTCGAGAATCCACGAAATCTGCGAAGGTCTTTTTTGCCTGGTCCTGTTTGATGAAGTATTTCTCAGCAGGAAAGTTCTGAAAATGTCTGAAAAGGTGACAGTCGGTTGGTGAAAGGTCTAGAGAATATGGTGGGTGAGGTAGAACTTCAACTCCCAATTCGTTCAATTTATGGATAGTGATTTGTGAAACGTGTGGGCGGGCGTTGTCATGCAAAAGAATCGGACCCTTTCTTTTGATAAGTGTTGGCTGCATCTGACAAAATTTTTCGGTACAATTCGTCGATTTCTTCACAGTAGGGTTCTGCTGTGATGGTTTGGCCTGGTGATAAAAAGTTATAGTGGATCACACCAGCCGATGACCACCAAGCCGTGACCAGAATCTTTTTTTCGTGAGGGTTCGGCTTTGAAAATTACCTCGGTGGTTCGTCGAAATCCAACCACTGTCCGGAACGTCTCCTGTTATCATACATGACCCATTTTTCATCACAGGTGACAATTCGGCCCAAAAACAGGTCGTTTCTGCTGCGCAAAAGCAATGCAGAAGGAACCTCGAGACGTGCCGATTCCTGCCGGTCACTCCGATTGTGGGGCACCCAATTGTCGAGTTTTTTCACCTTCCCAATGCGTTCCAGACCATCTGCAACAGTGGATTTGCCAAGGCCTAGCTCTTCTGCTATCTCTCGAACTGTTTGGGATGGGTCAGCCTCCAAAATCCCCCTAAATCCTCGTCAGATATTGCTTTAGGTCGACCGCTATGAGGTTCATCTTCAAGGCTGAAATCTCCAGAACGAAATTTGTTGAGCCATTGCCGCACAGTGCTTTCTCTAGCACTATTGGGCCCCACACCTGGTTAATTTGTTGAGCTGTTTCGATTGCGGATTGCCCCAATTTATAGTCGAAGAAAAAATCGTCCGAAGTGCTCTTTTCACATGCTTGAAAAAATCTTGAAAAAAGGGGGTTTATCAAGCAATGGTGAAACGGCAATTATACCATCAGATAGCGCAAGAAATTCTCTACAGGATGTGCTACTGAGAAGCAAGGCAGAATGAGTTTTTAATCAGCAGTGAATGTACAAAGATTAGGTGCACAAAACGCTAAGAACTTTCCGGACAACCTAATATCCCTCGTCTTCATCGACGTAGTCTGGTCCGCTTCCTCCAAGGTTGTACACTTTTGCGGCTTGACGTTTTGTTACAAGGGTGCCAGTGTGCCATTACTCGAAGGAACGCCACCCATAGAAGTGCCCCCCCCCATCTGGAGACGAGGTATGTCAACAGTTGTACATCTACAGGGGGGATGCAACAAAAAAATACACTTTTCAAGGCGCTATAAGTTACACTTTATCAATTTCTAATTGGACATTTCCACCATCATATTCAACAGCACATTGCACACTATCACGAGACTCCGCCACAGCCTTCTGGACAGGCGCCATTGAGAGATTCTGCCCGGTGACCGTGATTCGGTGCCTGAGTTCAACGAGGTCGTTGATTTCTTCGTCACTGTAGACCACCCTGTTGAGCTCCTCTCCGAATCCGGTTATCGAGGGGAGCTGCTCGATGTTGGAGGTCTTCCAGATCAAGAGTGCTGGTCCTCAGGTAGCTGTGTCCATGGGTGACTCCATACAAGAAGTTTCGCAGCTGTTTGGAGGTGACGTGAATTTCCAAAGGCCTTCTCCAGTCAGGCTGCGATTGGAGATGACTTCATATTTTGGTGTACATGAAGGTGATGGGCGAGAGCCTGCTCCTGCTTATCGAGGAACATCTTGGGTATCTTCCGCCCTGGTACTCGTATCCACGTCTTCTCTCTGGGCTGCGAAAACTTTGCTGATATGTGACTCGGCCAAAGTGTCATTTGGCCCCCCTATATATGTGAGAATTGCTCGGGTAGTTGACCTTGTCTGAAGCATACTCACATCAAAATTATGATGATTTCAATTAATAGAGGGGACAATTAGTTTGTCCGACATCGTGTGTCTCCCCATCAAAGACCAATAAGGGGAAGACATTTAGTATTGATCAAATTCTCAATATGTGCCACGCACTCTTTTCCCTTTCCGATTCGTAACTGCATCGCTTGTGGTTCTATGACTTGACGCGGCGCGCTGATATCGCGTCAGTGTTTTTATCTGTTATCAATTAGTCAATCCCGAATGGATGGCAAACTTGGTCAGCCTGGGGATTTAATCCAGGATCTGGCCCTGGACTGTGTGCGCGGCACAGCATCATTTGCCATTACACACGTTCGCATTTAGCAGTCTCTCGCTTTCACTGTGCAGGCGTGATGTTTGTACTGCACAGAGTTATGACGTCAGAGGTGAACACATGCGCTGCCGTGTTGTTGGTATATGTTTGGCGGTGGATGTAATGTGGTGAATGCGTCCACATTTCAAGCGCGACGACGCTCCCCTCACACTCACTCACTCATCCGCTCCTCTGAAATCGGCCTAGTAGTTCACCCCTCCAGAACGAAGTATGACATTCATTCTGCGCTCTGAGGGCAGAAGACGGCCCTGATGGCACAGGCCTAACGAGAATCATGAACCTGAAAGAAAATGTGAGTGCGTTTCTCAGTTTCATTCATTTGAAGTAACTATGGTAGGTCGTCAGGCCCAATAACCCTTGCTAACTGGGGTTGTGGTTAGTAACCTGAATCTTTGTCCAAGACTGAATGTCATCAGTCTAAAAAGTGCAAAAAAATCGGTGGTCTGAGAGAAACCAGAGCCTCCGTTTGTCAAGTATTCTCTGAAAAGGTTTTCATAATGGTTTTCAAATGAGTACTCATCAATCACCCTTTATGGAAAATATAACCTTGAGGATATTTGAAGAACATCTCGAGCTCGATTCACATCTAATTTTTCTTACTAGGGAAGGTCGTCAGGTCGAAGTGGCCACTGGTAATGAGATGTAGCTCGCCAGACGTGGTTTTGGACGCTGATCTGCCGAGATACTGGGCCTTTGAAATTTGCAAAGCTATTCTCTGAACGGAGTTATGGAGCTTTTCCCTCCGCGTTTACCACGCAACAGGTCATGGGATCGGATCCCTGTTGAGCTTAACTTTTTTGCTTCTAGCGCAAACGTGGCAAGAAAAGTTGTTGTTTGTTTACATTGCCACTGCTCCTTGACCTTGCCTGAAAAACAGTTTGAATTTGCTCAGCGTGGCGGCGCTATGGGCATCATGATCTAGGTAAAGATTCTAGATGCTTACAGGTGCCTCTTGGCGCGCAGTATGCAGACGTTTTCGGCGCGTGAGGCGAGTGCGATATTTTCGTTAATTTATGGGGGCGAACTACGCGTATGCGGCGTGAGTAGAGGTTACTAGATCAAATCTGTCCATTTTGACCTGACTTCGAAAAGTTGCAGGCATGCATGGTTAGTTTAGTTGATTTTCAGCACCTAATTGGCTACAGATATCATGTCTCCTAGCAGATCCGTCACCCTTAGCCACCTCGTCTTGCCACTTTTCGCATTGATGCTTGTTAACTTGCGCTCCCGTTTTTCTTGGTATCTAGAACAAAATTCCCGTCCAAGACAAGCATTTTGGAAAGAGATGGCCCTGAACTATTGTGACGCATCATTTGATCAACTGCTAAACCTGCATTTTCGTAGTTAGGCCGTCATAAACCTCACTTCTGGCTAGAAACTTGTCCCGCCCCTACGGTAGTTTTGCTTCCTTAACACGAAATAGTGGCACCCATTTGGCGTCCTGAGTGTTTTTCTAGACAGCGTACAAGAGACATTCCCCACAAAATGCGAAAGGAGTTCCCTTCCAGGAATCCGAACCCTTCATGGCATGCCCGGGAAGCAAGACCACTATCACTAAACCTTGTCACCAGTGTAGCATAAAGATCTCCCGCTATTTAATCGAATTGGCATGGCAACCGCGCTCGGACTTCGTTGACCGTTTTCCTTCATTTTAATTCTAACAAGCCATCATAATTTTCAGAGAATCGCTTTGCAAATTTCAAAGGCAGATTCGAGATCAGCGTCCAAAACCACGTCTAGTGAGCTACATCTCATTACAAACGGCCTGACGACCTTCCCTAGTTAGTCGCATAGAATTCGCAATTTTGATGAAAATATTGAGTTAGCTTCCTGAATTTTGAGAATAGGGAATCCTTTCACGATGAACAACATTGCCCGAGGCATAGTTTACTAGTTATTATGCTCCGTTGGGGATCCTATAGGGTCAGCCACTGAGAGGCGCACTCGGTGCTGGTATTGCGCCTCTTACTGGCTGTTACTGGAGCACTCCGCCCACAACCCTTAAGCAAACTATGGCAACAGGACTAACATTAATTGAAATTTACAGAACTATGAATGTATTGGTCTTGTGTCTCCTGATATCACTTACATCAGCAGCACCAGAATGGGAGCAGATCAAATCCCTACCCAACTTGGTTGAACCACTACGTTCGAAGCACTATGCTGGCTATGTACAAGTTTCTCAAACGAAGCAACTTTTTTACTGGTAAGTAAAAATAGAGTGAGTTGCTATTATATGCTATTGCCCTCACTATGTTCACCATCATGCTGCGAGGGTAAAAGGCGGCTCTGATCATGCAATCGTTTGTGCGCTAGCCTGGTAAGCGTGAGGTGTAGGTTCCAGTTTTTCCTTCGGTAGAGTCTTTTGCTCACACATCCTGTTCAGTGCGGATGGTGTGGGGAGGGGGGAGGGTCAAGGCCGGGATAAGTTTGGCGTGATGTCAGCTCGTTTTTTTCTTAAGGGAATCGACAACACTGTATCATATCGTTCGTAACAGTCGTTTGCAACACTTGTTGTGGCTCACCCTCCTCAATAACTGGTGGAGAATGGGCTGGTGGCGCGCCAAACCCAGCTTCATTGACACGCCCCCTCATCCGCTGCGAGCAAGACTGTTACTCGGTATTGCCGGTATAACTGCTTATAGCCTGATAAGACGACATGCGATATGAACCACAAAAATAAAACTGAAATGCAATTTTGGGCCATTCTGTACGATTTGGATCGGAGATGTCAGTACACAGCAAGAGTGTTAAACTAGAGATCTACCGTAATTCGTGTACAGCTAATAATTGCCTGCTCTTTTGAATAGTATTTCGATTATGCACTGTTCGCTGCCTAAATTTCTAAAATTGATGTGTACTACTTCAGAGTAATTACTGAAACTGTGGGTGACGTGATCAAAGGTCATTTGGTTGGCAATAGCGCCTCACAGGCGAGAGCGGAAATTCAGCTGGGCTCTAGTATCGATCACATGTTCTCAACGCGTTGTTTTAGCCACCGTTTTTTTATATCTACTCACTTATTTAATTGATTACTGTTATCGTTTTACGATTATGTATGTTACTATTGTTACACTTTTCTTATCTAGTGGAGCACAAAATCTCAAGTACAGTAGCTGAAAAAAAAACTTGAGACAAGCCAAAGTCGCGCGCTGGCCAGGTAATATCCACATGAGACCCCATGGTACCAAAAGTAGTCTTGTTCGCCACGAACAGTGGAGCATGTCAGGGGACTTGGTTCAGCGCAACGCTAGTCCTTCTCCCATCATTGTGGAAGCTGACAGTTAGTGGAAAACGGGCTGGCGCCGCGCCAAGCCTCCTGACACGCCCCAGAATTGGCGTGTCAAACTGTATCCGCTTGTGTACAGTTTTGGGAATGATATCACTTTTTGAAGTAGGGTTCACTTATGCACCTCATTCAATATTTCTGTACGTTCTGCTTGTATATTTCAAGGTATATTGAATCAGAAAACGATCCTGCGAATGATCCATTAGTTCTGTTCTTGAATGGAGGTCCAGGATGTTCATCACTTCAAGGACTTGTTTCTGGAGATGGGACCACTGAGGTTTGTCTTTTTCACTACTAACAAAAAAAGGATTCCAGGTCAAGTGGCCATTCGAAATAAGGTGTATATCGACTTGTATTTTCAATAAAGTTGCAAAAAATTTTCCCCAGGGAATCAGACTCAAATGCAAAACGAAATTCTTGAGTGTGAAAATTGCTTCATATGTGGGCAAATTTCTTCGAATTACTGCGAGTTTAGAGACTAAGGCCAACTTGAGTTACGGTGCCACATTAGTAGCTACGTTAGCCTCAAGAGTAAAGTAAAAGTTTTTTTTTGTGAGAATGCGTCCCTGAGGAAAGCATCCGTGCTCTCTCGTTCAGGAAGGTTTGCAGCAGTTAGCGAGGACGCGATTGCAATCACCCTCAAAGAACACCACATAAGAATATGCAACTCATTTCAGACGCTAGTTCGGACGCAAGATCATTCCTTTACTGGTTTCGTCAATCCATGAACGAATTTTAGGGTCAATAACTATGGCGAAACTGTTACCAGAAATCCATGGACCTGGAATCGCGTGAGTTTACTTGAGTACGCGTAAGAATCTTCAGCGGGGGTCGGCCGCTGGAGAGAGAGGGAGAAAGAGATTGTCATTGGCCTGGGAAAAAATCCTTGATAGTTGATTTTTCCTGTTTCACGTTTTGGGATACTCCTATTGGAAATGGGAGTAGTATTCGGTCGTCTCTCGAGGGGGTGAGGTCGTATCTCGCTCGAGAAAATTTCTTCCGGTATTTTTCGCTTAGATAAGCTGTATACTCACGCCTGCTCCCACCTCGACGGGAGGTCCCAATTTTTTTGCGGGGCGAGGGATGGAAACTTTTTTAGAGAACTGAAAAGAAGTTGGGGAAAGTCGAAAAATTGTAAATACTACGCGGAAGGTGAGGTCTTACTCGAAAAGGAAAATTGGGGAAGGGCCGTATTCTGAAGGACCTCTCCTCAGCGACAGGACGTACTTTGGTTACCATTTGGCAGACATCTATCGTCGAGGGTGTATTCTGAGAGCAACTGTAGTCACAGCGTTGCAGTTCGACTAGAACATGGGAATTTTACAATTGTAATGAAAGCCATCAAAAGTTCAGTCTTTTCTCTCGTTGTTCTCTTTATAATTGCTGTTTTAATGTTCTACTTAATGTTTTTTTTCCTTCCAGTACGCTAATATTATCTATCTTGACGCACCAGCTGGTGTTGGTTTCTCAATTCGTCTTGATGGCCTATGGGATTACACAGACACAGAAGTGGCCTTGGACAACTACGCAGCAATGAAAGAGTGGTTCAAGGTACGTCAGAAATTAGGGCCTTGATAATTGGCCTTTCCGAGAAGCAGTTACTGTCCTTCAAACAATTTCAGAAATTCCCCGAACGCATGACGAATGACTTTTATGCTGCAGGAGAATCATACGCTGGCACGTACATACCAATGCTTTCAGCAATTTTGGTGGACGATAAAAGCATCAATTTTAAGGTAGGTGCTGGAATATTCTCGAAATAGGATACTCCAGTTTCTTTTTCCTTGTAGCTCCGCCCTGTTCCACATGTTTTGCGCTCTACGAGGTTGCTCAGTAGAAACGTTTGGAAATATTGAATAAACGTTCCGCCTAACAGCCCCGCAAAGCACAAAACAAGCGAAGCTCTCCGAGGCTAAGTTCACACTGATAGTATGGGCGGAGACAGTCAAGTCAGAGCTTCTGAAACTATTTGCCCTAATCCCAGTATTCGAAGATCCGACCACATTGGACTTTTCCCCGTGGATGGATTTGAATGAGGTTTTTTTTCTTGGGGTACTTTGACCCTTCAATCACGGCTATCTCTTCCGTTTCGCTAGAGACCGACCGGCACCCGCAATACACACGCTGGCGCAACCACTTTTCAATACCAGATTTGTTGAGAACTTGTCCACAGGGGTAGTTTACCTACTGAACATCAATATCACCCTAGATCGGACCGAAAACGCTGACACGTGTTCTATGAGCTTCAGGGCCAGAATCACACATGGTACTGTGGCGGAGAAAATGCGGCATTTTTGCTTAATTAGGAACAGAACTAGACATATGTGGAAAAACTACTATTAAAACAGCAATGGTTTGTTTCATCCCTTAACCACATACAAACCATTGTAATTTCGCCAACCCTGGGAATCATCAGTGTGGCGGGGTGGGCGAACTACGGACAACAATGGAGAAGAAGATGACAAAAAGATTAGGAGTTAAACCATTGTATAATCATGTTCATGTGATCCAATCACCCCCGGGAACCAAGTTTCAGACGATTATACCTTAGATTATACCATCTCCTAAGTGAAAATTTTCAGGGCATGCTAATAGGAAATGGATGCGTTGATGATGTTCTGAATTTCAATAGTCTAGTGGATTTCAATTACAATCACGGATTCATTGATGAACGGTAAACGACAGAGTCATCGATGTTCATCTTTATATTTTTGTATGCTCCAATTTAGAAAAATCTTCACGAAATGAGCAATTGTAGGTATTATCGTCAATCTATAGAAAAATGCTGCAATAATACTCCAGAACATTGCAATTTCTATGGTCTATCTATGAATGAGACTGGTTTCTGTTATAACGAAGTAGGTTTCTTGGTGGTCATATTAGATTCTCTGCTTTTCAAAGAGATTATTAAGATAATTCAAAAATTAAGAACTTTCAGCTATTGTCAGCTGAAGAAAAGAAAATTTTGTTTTGTTGAAAATTGGAGCAGGGTGGTTGTTCACTGCCCTGATCGAGCGTAAATTTGATTATTTAGGCAAGTTATCTGAACTCGGCCAATTTCTACACTGGGCTCGATCCATACTTCATATACTATTCCTGCTATCTTGACTCAAACGATGCACCCATTCCCACTGGAGTGGCTACTGTGACACTTCGCTCGCATTTTCGAAGGAAATGGAAAAAAAAAGGTCTAATTCTTGCCCAGGTAATCAATACATCATTCCTTCCTTATTTATGCAATCCCAGTCGATTCGAGTTCAACTGGACGTCCTTTTGCCAAAGACAGCGAGAGCGTCAATAGCAAATATTTTATTAGTAACACGAACAAAAAAAACGAGATAGCGAAAAATGTGAGAGATCTACAACAGCAGAAGAGTAGCAGGATGGAGTCGGCGGGAGTGAGGTGGTTGAGGTCGAAGCGACGAGTCCAAGGTTTTCCTCGAAAGGAGCAACGAGTCCCCAGGCTTAATTATCCCCTTAAGGCTCACTTAGAGTCACGGCCACTTAGGCCGTAGCACGGGAGACGAGATGGGGGGTAGAAGAGTAGGCGGAAGTCTTCAGCTTCGTTCCGGGTGAACGAAGCCTACCGGGCGACAATAAAATGAGCATGTTTCTTTCTTCTGACCCTCTCCTTTTATGGGGTCCGCTCCCGCCTCTTTACTCCCCTCAGGCAAATCTTACTCTGTTTGCCCCCCACGATCTCCGTGTCTTGACCACCTTACGCCGATTCGGGGCCCCCTCAGGCAGTACTCTTTTAGCCTACCGTACCCCAATCGTGATCAACCCGCCCTTCCTTCCTTCGGGCATTTTCTCGCGCCGTATTGACCACCTTGCTATCGACCACCCAGCTCGTGGTCCCTCTTGACCCCTTACAGGGCCTTGCGCTTCCACGACCGTTCCACACTGCGTCCCTCCGACTCCTTCCTTGAGGAATCCCTGCAAGGAATCACCTTGATCATTCATGTTAGCAGACTCTGCTCTATTAGCCCAACCCGCGCTTGCTGTCCTTCCCATGCTCCAACAGGTCTGCGACGAAGTCTTTAATCTGGAAAGCACTCACTTTCAATATATCGCAGGGTTCTGCTGTTATTTCTCCATCCCGCTCCATTGTTATAACATATTCTTTCCTCAGTACTGACAGTATATTGATTTAACTCCAACCAAGATTGTTATGAAAACTTTATTCGGCTGACGTTTCGGCGTCGTCGCCTTCTTCAGAGCCTGGAAAGTCAGAAGACA